TAGTCTACAGGACTTGCAGTTGAACTATACATTAAACCTATAATCTATAGGGCTTACAGTTAAATTATACATTAAACCTATATTCTACAGGACTTGCAGTTGAACTATACATTAAACCTACATTCTACAGGGCTTGTAGTTGAACTCTACATTAAACTTCTAGTGTACAGGACTTGCAGTTAAACTCTATGTTAAACCTATAGTCTACAGGACTTGCAGTTGAACTATACATTAAACCTATATTCTACAGGACTTGCAGTTAAACTCTACATTAAACCTATAGTCTACAGGGCTTGCAGTTGAACTTTATATTATACCCATAGTCTACATGATTTGCAGTAACTCGGTGATATACACGTCCTAAACCATGTGTGAGTCTTTTTGTACGCTCAAGTGTAATAACATGAACGAAACAACATTGTTTCTTTTTAACAGAACTAAAGTACAGTTCATCAGGAACGGTTTGGGAAGAATGCCTGTTTCTAGCGTTATTGTCATCCCAGCTCCATTGGCAAACAGGGTGGTCCAAAAGTTAATATATACTCTAACTTTCCCTCGTTTCAGGTTAATATGCGAATGCATACGTGTGAACAATGAATAAACATGACCCACAGATTGAAAACCGATCAGTTTGGATGCTGCAAATCAAATGTTGTTCAAATAGAAGAGATCCAACAGTTGTGGAACAAATTTTCGAATAACCTGTATATAAACAACGTTCAAAGCCACTATAGTGTTTAAAGTTCGTATATTTGAATAATATTCCTTTAATGCCATAAAAAAGAGCGCTACACTATCATTATACATTTGCTATTATTCAGAAAGTTCAATATAAAATAATATTCAAAATTCTGCAACAGGGTGAAGCGAGATCGAAGTTACACAGAAATAATGACATTTTAAACGGTTATTTAGTTGCTATACTGGAATCCATAACCATAACGACTCCGAAGTTAAACTATAAATAAAATAAGCCTGATTCATAGAGATGTTTTCTCTGATTCAACATCGCATTTGTTCGTTAAAATTAGTCACAGTTAATTTTAAAACTTGTAGGCTGAACTGGGTAGCATGTGACTAAGTTAAGATGGTCAACACTGAACCAGTCTGAGAAAGCTAAGTTGGGTAACAACTGACTAGCCTATGTTGAACAACATCTGACAAAGCTGACCAATCTGAATAAGCTAAGTTGGGCAACATCTGTTTAGGCTAAGCTGAGTAACAACTGATTAGCCTACGCTGAGCAACAGTTGACTAAGCTAAGCTGAGCAACATCTGACTAGCTTATGCTGAGCAACAGTTGACTAGGCTAAGCTGAGATATATCTGACTAAGCTAAGCTGTGCAACAGCTGACTATGCTAAGCTGAGCAACACCTGTCTAGACTAAGCTGAGCAACATCTGACTAGCTTATGCTGAGCAACAGTTGACTAGGCTAAGCTGAGATATATCTGACTATGCTAAGCTGAGCAACATCTGGCTAAAGTTTGCAAATACATTATTAATAAATCTCAAGTTTAATAGTCGCATAATAACTTAATTTCATGTTATATAAGACAAATTTTGCCTAGTTCAACGTAAACGGATGTTACCTATCTTAGCGTAGTTCGATGTTGCCCAGCTTAGCCTAGCCAGATGTTGCCCAGATTAGTCGTTTCATCAGAACTTTTGTAGGAGTACGGATTCTTGATTGTAATTTCCAACTTAACCAATGTTATAATCACAAGAACAACTGAACGGCTCCTTCGAATAGTCCACAGAACTAACAAGATTTTATTTTCACTTGAGTTTTTTCTTCATTCTGTGCTCTTCAGCGGGAGCCATATATTAATACGCTCTCATTACAGAAGTGATTACTTGTATGCGGAAGAACATTATACTTACACGATAGTAAACTGGCAAACAACGATTTATAAGCATAATGATAATTATTTTATGTAGAGAACATACTATATGTTTTATCAAAATATTGGTTTGTTTTCTTTTAAAAAATGGTTCGCATATTTACTGTAGTAGGGTGTAGTTTGTAAACATAGCATCTGATTAATTTAAAGCAGGTTCGAATATACATTATCATATGAAGTGCGTTAAACTTAAATTTTTGCGACCAAAGTTTCTCGAAAAGGCTGAAATTTTATGAAACACCAAGCTAACATTTATGTAGTTTCCATCTTGGATTGTTTCATTTCACTACGAAGATCTGACTAAGCTTTATGTTGGAGACATGGAAGAATAATGACAGGTGGCGTAAAAAACCTGCTTGATAAAACGTCACAACACGTATTGGTTGCAGGTGTCTCTACATTATAGATATAACAGAAAAGCATTGTGTCTCCCTTACCTCGAGTACCCGCGAACAGCTGGGTCAGGCTCTGGGGTCATTTTGCTGGATTTAACTTCCATAAAGTTCTGTACGTTATCAAATATTGCTTATTTTATCGGCACGAATGGTGAAAGTAAACCTTGACCCGAGTTCTTTATAAACCCTCTCTGCACGCGTAAGTGCTTACATTAGAGATGGGTTGGGTTTTTTTCGCTACAATGTATCGCTATATCAGCGTTTACCGAAAAAGGAGCTAAGCTGAGATTAGCTTTAACGGTGATGCTTTAGGAAGAAGTTGCTCTGCACATCTGCTTGCACCTAGTTTAACATTTCTATAGTTTTTAATGTTCTTTTTTTCTGTGAGGTAAAACTGACAAGTCCACAAAACTGTTAAGTCATGTACGAGTATATGGCAGATTTCGTTTCACACTTTGGCAACCTCCCCGTAACTTCTGACGTAGTAGGTTCAAGCGCGGATTAGCGATCAGGTTTTTAATACGTAAAGCAAGGCGTGTAAGTCCTCTTTCTACCTAATTATTACCATGTCATGTACCAGCACGTCTTGCTTTGAACCAACATATCCTTAATTACTTCACTTAATTAGAAAGCTATTAGATTACACGTAGATTGCACCCAGATCTTATCTAATGCTTTACAAAGAATAATAATCTTTTGCCGGTTTTAGTGTGTGTGTGTGCGCCATCAACTTTAAATGAGGAGTATTCTGACGTAACCACCACTGATTAAGACTGATGAAACACTCAATATTTAGCGAATGTGTAACTTTTATTCCCCACGAGAAGCATCGAATGAGAGTGGGCGTCGTGTTTAAATGTGACTCAGTTTTTCATGACTCAGTTTGGTACCTTGTTATTTTTGTCCTGAAAAACCGACAGGTGGAACAGTCATCGGGCAATCGACAGTACTTGCACGCTCTTTTCTAAAACCGGTACTAGCTGTAACCGTAGATGCCCTTCATTAGTGTCCCTGACCTATTTAATTAGTTATTCGAATTAATTAAATAGCAGAATTTATTTTGAACGTACAAGCGATTAAAACTCCAAATTTGTTTAAAATAAATATGTTTTTTTTGGTTTGGACTGATTATTTTTTTTTGTTGTTGAAAACAAGAAGAAATCACTAATTCACACGGTAAACAAACAAATACGTGAGAAGTTGACTTTTTCGATTTAGCCTTCAAATGGGCTTTTCAACAACAATATATGTCTCACGTAAATACAATTTTACATATGTATGACCTCCAGTAAATGGCGATTTTTTAAAGTGCCTGTAGCCAGTTGCAGTATAATTTGTATAAATGGATAGCTTAAACACCAAGGACTGTATCTGCATCATCGTACAACTACTCTCCAGCTGTTCTAATTTTGATCAACATCGCGGTTTGATTGCTGAAAAACGACGTTCTTCAAAGATGGCGGCACTAGCGTAATTTTAACGTCACAAAGGTAAGATAGTCGTCAGTCTCTGCTCGGTATTCAGTGATTGTTCAATACAAATCGCTACAAGTGGTAACGTTTGTGTAATAATTGTTGTGGCAAAATTTATTATTTCAAGATGAATTCAAATGACCATTCTGGTGATGAACTGCCTTTCGATAATGGAAGATGTTCTACAAGCAGAACTTTTTCTGGTGCTATATCATATACGTCATGAATTTTTCAACATGGTCGTTTTGTTAATTACATTTCCTGGGCTTATGGGCAACAAATCTGTCACTTGATTAAATATTAGCACGAGTTGTAGTAGCGATGATAGTACAGGTTTGAATGGTTGGTACTGTGCTACGATTCAAACGTCCTGGTATGAGTAAGTAATTTATGCCCCATTCGGCATAACTAAAACTCATGACTGTTTTTATCATTTTCTTTAAAATAAGAATATACTAAATAAAAAAAATTTTCTTCGTAACTTAAGAATTCTATTCACTTTGCATTCAGTTTCGAGTCCTCTGAGCCCGGCATGACCAGGTGGTTAGGGCACTCGACTCGCAATCTGAGGGTCGCGGGTTCGAATCCCCGTCTCACCAAACATGCTCGTCCTTTCAGCCGTGGGGGCGTTATAATGTAACGGTCAATCCCACTAATCGTTGGTAAAAGAGTAGCCTATGAGTTGGCGTGGGTGGTGATGACTAGCTGCCTTCCTTCTAGTATTACACTGCTCAATTAGGGACGGCTAGCGCAAATAGCTCTCGTGTACCTTTGCGCGAAATTCAAAACAAACAAACAATCGAGTCATCTGTGAAGTAATGAAGCCTGTACGTTGAGCTAGCATTGAAACAACTTCTAGTTACACATCGACCAACCATTTATATTTTATATACGTCGGGATAATAAATTATAAAAGGCAAGCCCCATCAGTTTCAGAAAATGGTCCTCCTTTCTTCAGGGGTCGACAATAATTACCTTTTTTTGTCTCTCTGGAGAAAGATAAGATAAATTCATTTACGTTTGTTTTACCAATTCTCAAGGAGAATTGGCGCCAAAATCAGCTTTACTGGCAGCGTTGAGGAATGAGTAACTAGCTTTTGATCTTAGTCTCACCACCAAACTTAAATTTCTTGAGATTTCTACTGCACTTACACAAATAAATATGTTAGAAGGTGGCTACAGGTGTTTGTCTGACATGTGTTTCTTTGTTTTCAACGTACTATAACTTACCGTACATCTTTCCTTCGTCAGAAAGTATTATTTTTCTTCGTCCACAAGGTGGATAAATGGCTAATGCCTCCTGAAAGCTCTGTTCGATATCGGGACTCCATACCCCCTCTGAGTCATTAGCACCAATTTCTCCCTTTCCCATTGAGGAACTGTCTTTACTATTGCTATCGTCCGAACCATGAAGATCAAGAGGTGGGGGCGCTGCGGTACCATCACTAGATGGCGTTGAGTTTGGGCCCGAAAGGGGCGGAGCTGAATTCCAGTGAGAGGAAATTGTGGCGGCTGGAAATGGCACCCTACGCACTGAAAATAAAAAGAGATTATGAATACGTTAGTTCCTCTAAAATATTTAGCAAAGACAGGACATATTATTGTTAATATTTTTTTAACCAAGTACTAATGAAACTTTAAGTGGAATACATAATCCATTCTTGGGCCAGAATGTAGAAACGCCTAAAATCAACAAATAAGCAACAAAAAATGAATTAGAAGTAGGCATTTAAAAATCCGCATGTAGATACATAACTAACATTTACAAGGCTTTGTAGATTCTCTCTTCTTTTGTCTGCTGTAAGCCTGACAGGAGTTGTGTCAGTGTACTAGAGGGAAAATGAAACATTTCCTTAAAAAAAATGGATGGTTTCATAAAACTGTCGCTCAATGTACTGTTGCCTAAGAGATTTAAAGACAGAGATTTCATTGGTTTATGTGGTGTGTTTCAAAGTGGAGTTCTGGGGCAGTACTTTCCACAGAAAATATTACATCATATTTTCCATGTCTCAGACGTCATCATCCAAGAACAATGCACGTTTGATCATGCACTATTCATTCAAAAGCAAACAAAGAAACAAAAAAAAAACATGGGTAGGTGAAACATCACCAGCACTTTCTAGTGAAATAATTAAATCTTGGTTACTGGTTCAATTAAAATAATTGTCCACAATAATTACGTAAAATACAACAACAACACATGTTAATAGTATTTTCCTATTGAGAGTAGAAAGTAGAAACATTAATAAATCATTAATGTTTTCTTAACTCGTCGTTCACTTGGAGATCAGTGATTTGTTACTTATGTTAAATTTGTAATAAAATTTTCATCGTTACCCATTCAAGCCGTCTCCAAACTAAATTACGAAATTATTAACGTTGAAATTCTTGCATGGGTAAATAATTAAGGTATCAAAATAGAAACAGCTTTCAAAGGATAATTTAAAAAAAATCAATTTCGATCCTGGTGAACAAGGACTAATCTTCAAACCTTTCGAATTGCATCAGTCTTGAACTTTTCTTTTTCTAG